AAGTTCCAACTAGATGTCTCGTTGACTGGTTAATGTCATTGGGTGGGGACAAATTATAGTTAGATATAAGATCAAACATGTTTAATTTAGGGACTAAAGATTAAAGAGTTTGTAACGTGCAATCCACCTTTACTTTCAGAAGTTCAATTATAAAATTTTTTGATAGATTTTTCTATATGAATTTGACTTCATTACATTTTTTCTATTCCTGCGGCTGCTATTCTGTGGTTGAAAATAAAATAAAATCTATTTCTATAGAAAATTCATTTTAATTTCCTATGGTAAACGTTCCATTAATACTTATACAAATACAATAATTATTAACAAAAATAATATAAAAAACATTTTTCTTTTATATTTTTAAAAAGACCAGACAACGCCTTAAAGGATAAATTCCATATTTAGTGACTCACCATTTCTGTAGTTTTGTTTGAGTCATCTAATTATCTTTCTTTTCAAAATCATCACTAAATTTATATTTTTATTTCATTTATTCACAGTCTTTTAAAAAATAAATAGAAGTACTTTGTGACATTTGTTTTATTTTTCAATGATGATGATAGATTAATCTATACTGACATATTATCATTATCTTTATTTTTATAACGATGGATTGTCAAGATAAAATAAAATCATAAGTTTTATTAAGATTTTCAAAAAAGATAACCAAAATTGAATCATGAGAATAATTGAATGACCAAACTGTAATTTACCCCACCTTAAATGTCCTTCAAATGTTATTTATTTCTTAGACTTTCTTCTTATTAAACCAAATTAAGCAATTCCAATGTCTTTAATTTTAATTTATGTTATGAAAATTAAAATTGAAAAAAAAAACTTTCAATATTTTTACCAGTTTTAAAATAAAAAGGAAAACAAAATCAATAAAGTTTCATTGTAATTAAAATATTAACAAATTATTAATGAAAATATAAGAAATAATAAGTGGAATCAAATTTATAATTCGCAAAAGTTACGGGATAATGTATCCTAATTTTATAATTACCGCACCCTGAGAATTATTTTTCAGGATAGATCATTTTTTACAGTAAATAAAATAGATTAATTATTAAATAATAAAATTTTCAGGAATTTTAAATTATTAAATAATAAAATTGAGCCACAAACAAAAGATATAAGAAAATAGAATAATTATTAAAAAATTTTCCAGGAATAAGCCAGGAAATTTGATACACCGTCAGATCTACAAGCTCACAAGTCTCATTCATCAGATAATAAAACCCCTCACCAGTTGCCCTCTGGCTATCGCTGAGATCTAACGCAAATCAAAACTGAAGACAAACAACAATCATGGCGGCAACTGTATCGTCTCCTTGGGGAAAGCCCGGCGCGTGGGCTCTAGACACCGAAGAACATGAAGATGAACTCCAACGACAGGCCCATCTCGATTCTTCCACCGGAAAGCTCGCCGATTTCCCTTCTTTATCCGCCGCCGCCTCTACCAAATCCAAGAAGAAGAAGCCTCAAACCGTGTCTCTTGCCGAATTCGCTGCCTACGGCTCTGCTAAGCCCACTGAGCCAAGACGCCTTACTCACGAGGAGGACCTCGTACTCCCCACCGGCCCTCGCCAACGCGCCCCCGAGGAACACGATCGTAACCGTCTTGGCGGTGGTTTTAAATCTTATGGTTCTAACCGATTCAATTCCAGCGGCGACGATTCGTCTAGTAATAGTAGATGGGGGTCTTCTAGGGTTCCTGATAGAGATTCCAATAAAGAAATTGCGCTCTCACGAGCTGATGAGATTGATAATTGGGTGTCGGCTAAGAAATCAACCCCTTCCGGGAACGGATTTGGGGGTGGATTTGAGAGGAAAGGAGGAGGAGGAGGATTTTTTGATTCGCAATCGAAAGCCGATGAAGTAGACAACTGGGCATCTATTAAGATTACTAAAAGCGCCAATGCTGCACCGCCACGGAGATTCGGTGGGGTATTTGATAGAAGAAGCAGTTTTGATTCACTTCAATCTAGGGATTCACCTAGGGATTTGGATAATTGGGGAAAGAAAAAGGAGGAGACTGGTAGTACTGCTGGTAGTGGCAAAGTGAGACCAAAGCTTGTGCTTCAGCCGCGTACGGTTCCTGTGACAGAGGAGAATAAAAAGGAGGTGACTGCGCCAAAGCCCAAAGGGGCAAATCCTTTCGGCGAGGCGAGGCCAAGAGAGGAAGTGTTGAAGGAAAAGGGGAAAGACTGGAAGGAGATTGATGAGAATCTGGAAGCTATTAAGATTAAAGAGACAGTTGAGGAAGCGAGGGTAAGAAAAGCAAGCTTTGGGAATGGGCGCGCTCCAGCTGAAAGGAGCTGGAGGAAGAATGACTCTGTTGAGGCTGCTGATCAACCCAAAGGTTTGTTTTTGTTTGCTTCTTAAATCGAGAATACATACATCAACTGCTTGTATCTGTTCATGTTTGTATGTATGTCTATAGAGTTTATGAACTAAAGTTGGTTTCTTTCATGGTCTTCTATCATTTGAAGCTTATTTTGAGCTTCAGAAAACAGAGAAGAAGTAGCATGATATATCATTTTGCTTGCGACAGTTGCTAAGAACATTTATTTTCCTATGTATGTAGCAGTATTATAGCAATGTTTCTTTCAAACTGAATTTAACTACCTAGGAGGACAAATAACCATAATATCTCTGTTTTACAGTAAATTTAAAGCATGGGTTATGTTGTGACCATTGTATAAGTAGTGTCGAAAACCCCAAAAAAAATTGCATATGCAGCAGGCACGGACACCAGACTTTGTGCTAGGGAGCCAACTTATAAAATTTTAAAGGGGGTAAAAGCAGATTATTAATAGAAAATACAAAGGAAAACCTAAATTGTATGAGAATTTAAAATTTTTAAGGGCCAACCCCTATCGGTCCATCCTTGTGCATATGCATTTTATCTTTTCAATGGAAACCCCCCTGCCCATTAGATCCCAGCTTTTGAGTTCTTGTTGAGTTTGAATTGGAGCTCATTTGTTTTGGAGGGTTTTCTGTCTATTAAATGTGTGTCACAACGACTTGATATGTGCTTGCTCTGTCCCTTTTTCCCCCATCTGAATCCAGATCTGAGGTGGAGAATGGCCGTGCTGCGAACAATTGAAGATGAAGACTGACAAGAGGTGGGAAGGAAGGGAGAAGAAGGAACTCCTTTTTTGATTTTTGGATTCTAATGTGATGAGACTTGTTTGTCTTTTGTTGTGACCGTTATTATTGCCAGTGCGGTATTTAAACAATTTTGGTAGGCTTTGATTATGTTGCATTGGCTTTTGGTCGAACATGTCTTGTTAGTAGGAATGTTGCATATAGAATTATTAATTTTGTCAAGTTTTTCTTTATGTTGAGAGCATGAGTTATTAATAGTTTGAAAATGTGACCAAATAATCAATGTTTATTTATTTATTTTTTGTATCAGTTCTTTGTTGTTACTAACACAATTGTGTTTGATTGAGAGTGTGTTGTAAGATAATGCTTAGAATGTGTATTTGTGCAAAGCTAGATTTTACTCTTAGACTTGAATTGGAATGGATGAAATGAAAGCTTATGGATCTATTATGTTAAAAAAGGGCAGAAGAAGCTTATGATGAAAGGGTGGGATGTGTTTTGTTGTGATTGTAGTTGAGGCATATGGTTTCCGCTATTTGGCTCTCATTGACTCGACTTGGAGATGCCTGATGTTTGTAGTTGTAGTGGTGTATTGGTATCAACTTGTATTGAACGTGACATGCTCTGTTTTGTTTTGAAGTACATCTAGATTTGTATGGCCATGGTGTACAAGTGGGCAGCATAATTAGAGAGGCATTGCAGGGCCTACAATTAAGCCAGCTTGCTTTCCCCAGCTATGTTCGTGTCTTTCTCTAATCAAATAATATCGGATTTTCCTTTATGCTCTAAATATTTTCATATTATAGGGATTCTTTATGAATTTTTTAATTATAAAATAATTATTTATCTTAAAAAGAATAACATTAATATTTTTAAAAATAACATCAGATGATGGGGTATTTAATAAAATTGAAATAATAAAAAATACCTCTTAAATTTACATATTATAATTTGATTTTAATTCTAAAAAACAATTTTATTATTTTAAAATTACATCAATTTACTTTGTTTTTAACTTATAAACTATTTCTTTCAGCATCATTTTTTTTATAGCTGCACCAATCAGTTATCAGCGTACGTTCATCGTTCCTTGACCTGACCATGGTTGTTTCTCTCTTATTCGTTTTCAATATGGTAATTTTTTAATTTTATATAAAATTTAAAAATTACCATATTTTTAAAAATAAAACACAAATTTCAAAATAACTCCTAAACTTTGAAAACATTCATTTCAACCCCTAAATCCAAGCCGACCGCCTCTCTTTTCCATCGAAGAAGCTCCACCCGACCTCCCTTCCCCTGGTGACCAAAACCCCTATGAAATTGTGACCGGTTGATGACTGATCGACGACAAATCGACGTTTTAAATCCAACGAACCCTAGGACTAAAATCGTGATCCCACGCGATTCCGATGGTGAATCGGAAACAACTACGACGCCATATAACTAGGATGATGGCAAATACTACGCCGAATGGTTGTGGTCAAGGCCGGAGAGGGCGGCGACAGCGGATTAAAGTTAGAATTTGGGATTTTGGGACTGTTTTATAATATAAGAAAATTTAGGTTATTTTTAATAATTTAATAATATTTTTAATATTTTTTAAAATTATCAGGTTGTGTCACATGTCACTTAACAGAGAAAACTAAAGCCGTTAACTGTCCGGACACCTAAAGTGCTAACGTTTGTAACGTTAGGCTCCTGGATGGGCAAAAAAAAATGTAGGCACTTATTTGGCATAAAAGGTATAGTTTGGGCACTAAGCTTTTGTTTTTCCAAACATATTTATGTATATAAAGCCCTTCACTACTATCGTTTCTTGTCACCTTCAGTTTCTAAGTTTGAGCAACAAGAGAAATAAAATTTAATTGGCTACAGCAATCCCAATGGCTTCCAAGGTGGTACATCTAATTTTATTTATTTATTTCAATTTTATGTATGGTATATGTACGTTAAGTATATTTTGGTGTATGATACTGTAGGCTACGACTGGGATGTGGGTGACTGATGAATGCAAAAAGTCATTCATGGAGATGAAATGGATTCGATATATAGTCTTCAAGATCGGTGAGAAATCAAGGATGGTTACGGTCGATAAGGTCGGGGGATCCAGCAAAAGCTACGATGATCTTACTGCTTTGTTGCCGATCGATGATTGCCGATATGCAGTTTTCGATTTTGATTTCGTCACCGTTGATAAGTGTCTGAAAAGCAAGCTCTTTTTCGTTGCAAGGTTGGTTGTCTTTCTACTTCTTTAATAGTATAATACAAATTTTTTTACGTTCTCTTTTATTTTACAATAGGACTTATATGACATATATAGCTTCTCAATCTGACCGATTTGTCCCTTGTAAATGAAATTCCATTGTTTACACTGTTGTGATATATGTCCGTCGGATAAAGTAAAATCACAACTGATTATTTGAGAAAGTAACAATGAAGATAAAGAAGACACATTTTATGTGAAAAACCCCTAAATAATATAGGGTAAAAACCATATACAAAGGTAGAAGAATTTCACTATAAAAAATAGGAATTACAATTTCTCTCGATCTAACAAGAAGAAAACCATGAAAATTCTCTCTTGATAAAAAGGAGAAAACAACTCTATAAGAAAATTCTCTAATTTCTCTAGTATTGGGAGGAAGTTGAAATGTTTTGGGATTTTGGGAAATGGAAAATAGATAAGTTATTTATAATTGAACTTTAGGGGCCAACTTATAAATAACCTACAATTTAGGACCAAATGAATGTTTACACCATGCCAAGTGTTCAACCAAAATCAATTGCCTCTCCACTACAACCTTTGAAATTTAGGTCTACACCAAACGACCAAATTCTTTCTATCTTGTACCATTCATGTTGCTTACGTCTCTAACAGACCACAAGAGGATCGACACCAAGCAAATTTATCAGCATTGATCGCCTTTGTCATGAAATCTCCTATGTTGCCTTTGGTATGTATTTTTTTTTACATATATATCATCCCTTCTTCCACCTTTTCACGAATGAAATGGTTTTGTACTCGTATATGTTTTGTCATTGAATCAAATATTGGATTCCTTGCTAGATGCAAGACGCTCTCACTGTCACAAATCCAAAAGACATACTCTTGATTGTGCTCAATCTCCTCCAATAGCATTTTTAACCAAATCACTTCTTTACTGGCTTGTGTAGATGCTACATATTTTGTCTCTATTGTTGACGTAGCCACAATTGACTGTAGTTTTGAGACCCAACTTACAGTTCTACCACCAACTTTGAATACATATCATGTAGTAGATTTGCATTTATCCAAATCCCCTGCATAGTCAGAATCGATATACCATCAGATAAGAAAGTTTGATCATTCGTAACATAATGCAATATTTGAGGTCCCTTTGATTATCTCAGGATCCTCTTCACTGTATTTCAATGTTCTTTACCTGGATTCGTCATGTATTAACTAACCACTCTCACTGCTTATGTAATGTCGGTCTTGTGTGTAACACCCCCAACCCATATTCGACCCGGATACGAATCCGAAGTCTCACATTGACTTTTCCAAATCCTTTACTTTTACAAGATACTAAAAATTCAATTTCACATTTAAAATAAAACCGAATAATTTGTATTAAATAAAAACATATGGTTTTACAAAACCTATCAGAACATATCTGATTCAAATCTTTAAATTTCATGCCAACTACTTTAATTAAACAAAATAACATACTATATACATTGTTTTTGATCTGATTTTCTTGTATGGATATGTTGTCTTGTCTGATCTTAGCTTTGCTCTTCCTGTTTCTTTAAACCTGCATGTGAAACACTCACACGCTAAGTCTGTGACTTAGTGAGGCATAAAATGCATAAATTACATATGGAAACATGTAACTACATACTTTCACAACATACAGACACATCACATATTTAATGAAACAGAACATATACCATCATGCATTCAACTAGCAATAACATATAACTTATTGTATGGTTCATTCATTTTATTTCATTTATTAGTCCATGGTATATTACTGAGAAATAAACTCTGTAACCACTTAATATATATATCATAACCTCATATCAAGAAACTATAGAATATTTCATATAACAACAACATGTGTACATATTTATACATATCATCATCATCAACACAACTATCATTATCATTATTATTCACTGTTTATTTATATTTTTTCTTTTAGTAGTCCATGTATATCATTGAGAACTTAAGGTATGTGAGTTCATTGAGGTTGTGCACAAATGCTGTCACCACAGCTCATATAAATTGCACCGAAGTGCCACGTAGAAATTACACTGAAGTGCCACATAGAATGTCCCGAAGAACCACATAAATGTCTCGACACCGTGTAAAATGTCCCGAAGGACCACGTAGAATTTTCCCGAAGGACCGCATGGAACTCTCGACTATTGGCATGTCAATTATACCCTCAGCTCTCCTATCACATACTATGGGTTTTACCATTTATATTATGTTTTATATCTTATTTCACATAGACAAGTAATCACGTAGATTCTGTCACATAGTGTAACATCCCAAAAGTCGGGTCAATGACCAGAATAGAATTTTGGTAAATTTAGTGACTAATTTCAGAAAAGATGGAAAGTTCTAGGACTTAAATGAAAAGATTTGATGATGGATTTAATATCAAAGTTTGAAAGTAAAAAGGGTACTATGGTCATTTGACAGGGAAAATTTTTATTTCTCTTTATAAAGGATAATAAGCACGTGGGAATGAATAATTTCTCCAGAGTCTTCTTCATTTTCCTCTTCCTCTCAACGTGAGCTCTTCATTGCTAAGGTGAGTTTGATTTTCAATTGATTTTCTTGTAATTAAAAGAATGGTTTTAATTGGTGGAGCATTAGGAAAGATTAAGAGAACTTAAAAGGAGATAGAAAACTAAAGATAAAGAAGTTATGGAAGATTTAATATAATGGGTGACCAAGTGAAAATTAGAATAAGAGGGTTTAAATGAAATTAGAAGTTGAATTTTACTTGTCACCAACTTTATTAAGGAATATTAAGTGTTAGAATTAGATTTAGAATATGTTAGAAATTGAGTGTGATTCTTGAATGCCATATAAAGGATACAGTGTTGAGTTTAAAGAATGATTATTGAGTAGAAATGAGTTTAAGTGTGTGTATGAAAGTTAGGAATATTAAAGGAGGTGAAAGATGGAGAGTTGAGATGAAAAGAGAGTGAATTTCATGCTTAAAATGAAATTCTGGGTTGTGTGCATCGATGCATCTTTAATGTGTATCGATGCACTCTCAAATAAATGAACATCGAATGCAATTAGTGCATTGATGCATAAGGAGTGCATCGATGCACCCCCTTAAGATTAGAACATCGAAGGTGATTTGTGTACCGATGTATGGTTAGTGCATCGATGCACATGTTAAAGAATGCATCGATGCACTGTATAATGTACCGATGCACTTCAATGGGAAATGGAATAGATCTTTCTTTCAGTGTAAGAAATTATAGATTATAGTATATCAATGGGATACTGATAGTTTAAATATATGATTGTGTAGACATCGATCGAAAGCAAAGTTCAGATAGGCCGATAGAGTAAGATATGCAAAGAAAACAAGAGCTTAAGAGTGTTCATTGAGACCAGGTGAGTACATGATAGTAAGTGTATGTTATGTTAAGGAATTAAGACTTGCAATGAGTCTAATTCCGATATTTTATGATATAAGTACTCAAGCATAAACATGTAGTGGCATGGTGTTAGATGTATGGTATATGAGTAAATGCATATGTCTAATTGTTGAATGCATCTTTATGTGTGAACTATGTAAATGCATGTATTTATGATAATAGGTCATGTGATCATGAGATACATGATAAAATATATGTGAAAGTAATATGACTCATATGTGTTTCTATTAGAATGTTATATGATATATTATGTATGTGAAATGAATGATATGAATACATGTTAGTATAATAAGCTAGATTAAATGTTATAATTGAATGAAGGGATTGTATGAGAACATGTATATGCGAACATGTGTTATGAGATAAGAATCATGACTATGAACTATGTGAAAAGGAATACAAGTAAAAGTGAAAAGCTATGTGATAAATGAATATGAATTACATGGAAATATGCTATGTGAAAGTGAACTATGTGCCTACGTAAATATGTGAAAAGATATAAAAAGAAATGCCCATGTCATGTGTTATGAGAGCTATAGGTATAGTTGTCATGCCAAGAGTCGAGGGTTCTACGTGGTCCTTCGAAACATATATGTAATTCTGTGGAACGGATATGTGGTACTTCGGTACACTTATTTGGTCCATTGTATTATGTATATGGTTCTTAAGGAGTGGTCCTTCGAACATAGTGGTCCTTCGGGACACAATGGTCCTTCGGGACACAGTGGTCATTCGGGACATAGTGGTCCTACGGATAAATTCTACGTGCCCCTAGTGGGATTTATACGAGCTGTGGTGACGGCATTGTGCACAACCTCTATGTACTCACATACCTTAAGGTCTCAAAAGAGTGCATAGGCTTTAAAGATAATAAATATGTGTTATGATAATGTATGTGTTCTTTGTGAAATGATATTGGTGCTATATGACAAGTATAAATGATAAGCTCAGAATCATATGATAATATAAAAGAAGATAATGAAAATGAGTGCATATGTGTTTTGTGATAAGAGATGATATGTAATTATGTATGATATGACATTAGTATTTATTCATGTATTATTGTGTTTTGGAGTTATATTATACGTTTATGTCAAATATATGCTCATATGATGGAATAGATTTAATGACAAGGAAATATGTTCATGATTGGCTTAAAAGGTATGTAATTATGACGTGTATTATGTGATATATGTATGCATTTATTAGTTTGCATTGTGCATTTACATGTCTCACTAAGTCTATGACTTAGCGTGTAAGTGTCTTACACGTAGGTGTGGATAAGTCAGAAGATCAAGCTTCGAATCCGTAAAGCAGCATATCTCCGCGCAAAGTTCAGATCAGAAATATTTTGTAAAGTATGTCTTGTCATATAATTTAGTATGTTGGCATGTAACTAAGTCATTATATATGTACGCTCTGATGGAGTCTGTTAAGGTTTTAAACATATTTATATAAAAGAATTACTTTATAGAATAGAAGTTTTAAATTTTCTATGGTTTTTATAAAAGTATATGCTTTGACTAGTCAATGTGACACCTCGGACTCGTATCCGGGTCGGGTACGGGTTGGGGGTGTTACATTT